TCTACAACGTCCATGAAGCGAGAAAAATCAACTATCAAAATAAATTTTTCTCAGCCCAAATACGACCCCCCTCTCCTGGCGGCCAAATACGACCCCCTCCCTATTGGGGATTCCCCAACAACGATGTGCCCTGCTTCCGTGACATGGACGACTTTTATAATCCTCTTATCGGATTTCATCAGCCCTTATCAGTTCCTGTCAGTCATCAGCAATGTTCCTCTTCCATCCCATATATCAAATCTTGGAATGGGTGCAGTGGCCCGTCCTATGAGTAGCTCTCCCTCCCTTTCTAGCTACGATGGTGTGAGTGTTTAGACGGAAGAAAGACAGAAAGCTATGTACAGGAGAGCAGAGTCGACAAGAAGTGCGCAATGGTACTTGGCTGACTGTATAGACACGACCCCTGCAAACGATAGGGCGTGTGAGCCTGCTCGAGTCGGACCGCTACTAGTGCAGTTCGGGCCAATTATGGATCATCATTGATGGAAAGACCACCTTGGAAACACTGCAACCCACACCCCGTCACAAGCCTATCCTTTAAAATAATCGCGACGTACACTGTAGCCAGTTGGTGTTTACGCTCCTCCTAAAGAAGATATTGACAAACACCAGCGCCTTCTTGTTCTTTACTATCAGCGATTCTCGGCACAGTTCTGCATGGAGGGGCATTTGAGGGGGCTGGTTCTTATCGTGCATTCCCAACACCTACTGTGAAGTGGGTAGACTTCAGTAAAGCTATGCAGTAGGAGGATCTTCGCTTATACTCCACGAGAGATTACAGGTCTCATCAGGGACGGTTGTGAAGCTACCACGCGAACTGGTAAAGAAAGGGACAAATCAGCAGAAATCTTCTCCGCTGTAGGCCTGAACACGGACGGCCAATTCTTGCACGTAATGATTAACATTACCTGCGTATAACTTTGGCGATAAGGTACAAGCTACGGCTCCGGCTAATGACACTGCCAGAAAGAGGTAGACCGCTTGAGGTGAATTGTCCATGCATAGCATTACTACCTGAAACTTGCGTGATTACTATTCAGTCAGTGATTTTCGGAACACTCATTACCTCTCCGCGCTCAACTCCCATCGACACCAGGGCTTTTCCGATGAACTTTGCTCTGGTAGCCAAATCGGCAAACGTAAATTGCTCCTTTGTGTCATAATTGATCTAGAAAGTCCATTTGAATAATTTGCCTGGGAAAAACCCTCAATATACCTCCTGAGAAGCTAAAACTGTCGAAGGTTGTAGATCTCCGTTGAGTTTGGAAATGTGTTGAACACGAACCGTCCTGCCGTTGAGGAAGAACTTTGCAAGACACGAACTACCCCCACCCCTCTCCTCGGACTACGATCCCCATCCACGCTAGTCAGATCTCCCGATCTAAGACTACTGAGTAAAGGGACCAAATATAGATCTGACACAGGCATAACAAGACAAGAAGTTAGAATGGTGTTTGAAGATACACTCAACAAGATAATAAATTATTTTAAATATAAATACAAGGCTAGCAATCACAAGATTAATCTATTATATAAACATTTTCGTTCATGTTACCATGACAAAGTAAAACCTTTACTGACAAAGGCTAATATTGAAGATATAGGAGAACACATACCTTACAACTTAATCAAACAATATCAAGAAAAATACGTGTTCTGCCCACTCGACAAAGCAAATAATAACTATGGCATCATCTGTAAGAAGTTCTACCTTCTGAACATTATGCATGAAATGGGCATTTCTTATGATGCTGCCAACCACACATTTGTCTATGGAAATAGTAATAACACATATGAGTTGATGCCTCATACGAACAAGTATTCTTTAATATTGAAACACAAGTTCCTTTGTGTAAGAATAATATCAATATATCCATTGATGCAGAAATACCTACTATATATGCCTTACCAAAGCTACATAAGAACCCAGTTAAATTCAGGTACATCACAGGTGCACATAGCAGTAGTATTAAACCACTGGCTCAGGAATTACGCATAATCTTCACACATCTTAAAAATCACTTCATAAACTACGCTAAAGCAATTCGGAATCGCAACAGGACTATCAAGACATACTGGTCTATAAGTAATATTAATATAAGTCACGAACTACACATGGCATCACTTCGAGCAATCTCAAAATTTACACAGCAGATTTCACTGACATGTTCACAAATTTAGAGCATGATCTTATTCTTAAGAAAATGCAGGAACTCCTTAACATTTGCTTCAAAAATGCCAACAGATCCTTTATTGCCACTAATGGTTACCATGTTTTCTATACAGATGGTAAAGAACTCAAGAACAACTACAGATATTACAAATCCAGCGATTTAATATACTTTATTGACTATCTTTTACGTAACAGCTTTTGTCTTTTTGCTAATAATACGTTCAAACAGACTAAAGGTGTCCCACAAGGTGGCAATTTCAGTCCACTACTAGCAGATCTTACGCTTTCTGTCATGGAATATGACTATGCTAAATCTAAAAAGTTTAATAAAACTAAGCTGTTCATCCCATATAGATATATGGATGATTTGCTTGTTGTTCACAACCAAACTGATGATGATGTGGATGAACTACTTTCTCAAGTTTATCAAAATACCCTTCAGTTGAAAAAACTCATAATAGTGAGGTTTCTAGTAATTATTTAGATTTAACAATTAATATCATTAACGGTAAAATTAGTACCAAGCTGTATAACAAAACGGATGATTTTACCTTCAGTGTTATCAGATTTCCGTATAGGGACACAAATATCTCTCTTATCAACAAATCCTCTGTTATATATACGGAAACTTTGAGGTTAGCGAACACTTGTTCGTTCTTCAACGCTTTCGTTAGCAAAATAACGGATATGATCACCACTCTTTTGAAAAATGGCTACGAGGAAGATTTTATTATTACTAGCATTGTTAAGTGTATTTATAAAAATAAATTTATAAGTTACAAGTACTCAATCGCAATAACTATAGAAAGATAAATAGACTAGTCACAGGTTTACTCATTTGCAGCAGTGATCAACACTAATTCCCTTCTTTCCACTGTACTTTAATTGATTTATTTCTGGTATACCTTCTCTTATACTCAACATTCTCTCAGTGGTTTTGCCGGTTTACTCTCCTTTTCCCTTCCTTCCACAAGTATTTACAGCTTCGTCGCTTCATACGTCACCGCACATAATTCATCATCATCTTGATGCATGAACTTTGCATGTTACCCCCTTTTTTACAATCTCTCTCTTTTTGTCCTATTTCTCACACCTTCCCCTATGTAGTCTATGTCCTCTTGTCTTCAACCTATCGCACTGATGATGCTCGGGGTTGGGCTATGCACATGACTGATTCCGTCTGGCGATACCGAGCGACGAAGCGGATCCATGCTGTTGTTGTGGCAGTGTCATTCCCTTTCCCAATCGTTTGTTTTTTGCTTTGCTTCTAATTCTACTATTTACGTATTGAATTTTCTCATATTCCTCCCACTTTTAGCCGGAAAATTCAATTGGCCTCACCCCCTCCCTCCCGCCCCCGAAAAAACATGCCGTTTGTTGTTGTGGAAATAATGGACATAGCGACGCGTGAAATGGAATAAACTAAGGAAAAAAGTTAGAACGCGAAAGTAGTTCTATGAAAGATAGTACCCTTCGCCCTCTCTCGACCATTAGCCAGGGCGAACCAAAGACGACCCCCCCCCCTGGCTCCGGAATCACCAGCGCAACAAATTTGTGGCCCTTATGATGTAGCGCCCATTGTAGTAAGAATTAATGGGTTACTTAAACCAGTGTGTAGAAAACCCTCAAGGCCTTTCTGAATTCAGGGCCGCTTCGCTTTGAGCAAGAGTCTGATAGTGACGTATTCCGACTGATTACTGCCTCTCCATTTTTTTGAGCGTTGTGGGACGTTGTGGAGGTTTTTTGCTGACTACTACGCGCCCCCCCCCTTCTTTCGCAAGTTGCCTTCTGGCACACATCTATTACCCAACACCGAACAACACCTCACCAAACATTCCAGAGTATATGCCATTGTGCCGGCGTGCGAGTGGTAGACCTCCGATCAACTGTCAGAAGTAGCAGTTTTGTGGCGAGGGTTACTAGGGCGTGGGTTACTTGAGGTTCACACTCCATTTCCCAAAGATGGAGTGGGCGTGGCTGCGTACCTCGCATGAATATGGCGTTTGCCGTGAGATATTCCCCTCAGGCAACCTATCTCCTGTCATTTTATCTTACGCTCCACAATATGATCACAACTGCCCAAAAAAAATGTCGTGAAACGGGAAGAACACAATAATCAAACGAAATTTATCCCAGGCGAAATACGACCCCTTCCCAAACGGGCGAATACGACCCTGATTGGGGATCCCCAACCTAAAAGGTAGCCCTGGTTCAAGCAGGTCTCTACCTATGAGAGTAGCAGACGATCGCAAAGTGCAGCGACTGCCATAAAAAAGTCAACAGGCCAGAATACGCTTGCGTTTGCTCTCCCTCACAATTGTCCCTAATGGTTACTACTACTACTAGAAGATTGCAAGTAACGCAAACAGGCGCCCAAAACTTTATTGCCCATGAACTAAACAATTTTCTTGGGCAATGAATACCTTGGGAGTCTGTCTGTGTTATTGACAGCACTCAGATAATCGTGGGGCTCCGGGGCAGTAAAATATTGGGGTTATCAGAAGAACTGCACAAGCTCGTTGCCAAATGTTGCTTTTAGAAAATAGATTTCAGGAGTCCAGATATCGAGTTTTCCGGAGCGCTGTTATCAGTGGTTCAACTGAGAAAGAAAGACATGTGTCGATCCACTGATAAACGCAATGGAATGAGACTTCCACGCATTCTTATATACAGAGCGAATTTCTTCTCAGTGCACCAACCAGGGCACCGAAGAAGGGTTCTGTCGTTGGGGAGAATCTTTGCAGAGTGCGACCCCTTCCTCCCCAAAATTCCTCGTCTAGTACGGCCGCCTCATTAAGCATCCTCCACTCTACCTACCATCTTCGCAAATTCCCTAAATTCCCTGCCACTTTTCCGGAGCTTTCCCAACAATTCCTCCTCTAGAGGCGACTTTTCTCAGGAGAAATCGTCTTTAGAGGAGGCGGAGGGTGTTCGCTGCATGCATGAAACGGGAACCTGAGACAAGTCAACAGCCGAACACATTTTCCTCGAAACAAGTGCGACCTCCTCCTTTCTGCATCCAGCGACCAAAGACGATCCCTTCTTAACCGAAGACGTCCCGCATCGCTGGGCATCCCCAACGTGACGTACGCTGGCACCAACGCCCGGATGGCTTCTGCACGTTGATATCATCGCAGTCACCCGGGGATCTGTTAGGAGCCGTGGAATAAGCGCATCCACGGCTGCGTTTTCTACCAGTAATGACCAGTTAGGAGGAAAGCAACTAGTGGTAGAAAACGCCGCAGGTGGAAAACTTTGAGTCACTGAGTAACTTTGAAAACACTCTCAAACGATGACTCAAAAATTTTTCAGAGCCGTAAAATAATAATGATACCTGTGTTTCTCAGCTGTGGACGAGTGAGTAGTCCTCGAAAAAAGGCACAAAAAAAGAAAGGAAGGATAACGGTCATCTGCAGGATACATAGATCTATCTAGGTAGGGCAAGTTTCTACAGTAGGGATCCCAGCGATAGGCGGTTTGTTCTATTTGAGAAAGGCGTATTTATCTCGACTCCTCGCTTGCTCCTGGTTTTAAGTGACTCTGGCCATCCCTACCCTCGAGACCCGAATTCGTGGGAAAAGGGGAGGAATTCCAGAAAGCTGGTAGGGAGTCGAGAAAATTTATGAAAGTGGGTACATGATGTAGGTAACATGTACATAGGTGGATGGGGGGAGGAAATTTTGAAGGAGGTCGATATTTTTGTGCAAGGATTTTCTGCTTGGCAGAACATGCCTTGGTCTAAGGTGTCTCTCTTACTTTTCTTTCTCCATGATTAGAAAAAGTCCAATGAGGGTGCAATTTGTGATCCTATTTCCACAATTTCTGCATAACAAAACAGAAAAGAGGTGAACTTTGATCACTGGTGAGTTAGCGGGACAAAACAGCTACTATTTGGTATTAAAACAAAGGCACGA